TGTAGTATGTGTAAAATGTACATATGGAAAAAGACTGAAACAATATGACCACTATTATTTCAATTATAAAAGGTTTTAAAAATTCAATATCGTTTATTTTTATTAGCACTAAACTTTTTTCTTTTCCAAGTAAGGTGGTAAAAATTGCAGCTAAAGGGAAACCCTGAAGTACTAACACCAAGAAAATTCATGACTACATAATCTATTAATGAACGTATGAGCATAATGACATCCTCAGACCTTTTCCGGATGATGTGAACTGATCTGGTTCTTAATTTAATTGGATTCAACCAGAGCCAATATTCTCATAGATGAGGTGTCCATTTGGCACTCAGAAGAATTATCATCTTTGGAAGGAAGAATCTTTCTACTCTCTCAGGCACTCAGCAAGCCTAGCTAAGAAAATAGCAAGCCCCTGGACCACATAGAGGAGCATTTAGTGGGGTGTGCCCTGGGATTATGTCTCTGGAACTGCAGTCTATCAAGTTCTAGGAAACACTTACTCTACGACAAAACTTCCATTGTGTTTAGGGAGGGACCAGGCAGGGAGGATGTTGAAGACTTGGATCTCTATGGCAACAGGAACTGCTTTGAAGAGCTGCCAGGAGAAAGTTATCCCAGGTTTCAGGACCAGGAAAAGCTATGTAACTGATCTGTTTTTATCTCATGGTCGCTGTGGATCGGGTAACTATTTCCTTTTTGTTTTGGCTGCTGGGAAGCTCTAACAATTTTTTAATCCTATTTGTGGAAACTGCTTTCACCTTATGATATATTCTTGTTCTCTAAATTACCTCTAACTCTATCTAAGTCTCTATTCTCTGAATGCCCTTTAGCCCAGTTCATAGCCTATTAATTTTATGTTGTTTACTCCATTATGTTTTCATTACTGGGGATTGAACCCAGGGCCTCATGGATGCTAGGCAAGTGCTCTACCATTGAGCTACACTTCTGGCTTACTACCTGTTTTTGAAAAGTCCTCAAGTGCTTTATGGAACAGAGAATATTGAGAGCAAATAACTTTTAAAAGCACAAATCATCATCATAATAAAATTTTTGGTAATTTATTGAATATTGACATAAATAAGGCATTGTCCTCAGTATTGAGCCTATCTTATTTAGCCTAAATATGAGATAAATACTTTTATTATTCTCATTTTACAGTCTACAAAACTAGGGCAGAGAGAGGTTAGTAACTTGTCTAAAATCATACAGCAAGTTAGTGATAAGTGGAAGACTCAAGCCCAGATATCCTAAATAGCATAAGTTATTCAAAAGAAAAATAATATTTAATCTCTTGAAGAATTAGAGGCCTTCTGATCTTACAGGCTGAGCTTAGCATCCTTGAGCCCTAAAGGCAAAACATATACATTTCATCCATACAATGCTAAATGGCCCACATCAGCAGAGAAAAATGAAACAATGAAAGTTAGAATAAAAGATCTAAAACACAATCAGCTTTTCATCTTGAAACACTGTTAAAGATGTTCATACATTCACTCATTCACTCACTCAATCATTCATCCCACAACATTTAGGGAGGACTCACCATGCGCCAGACACGGTGCAGGTGCTGGGAACAGAGATAAAACAGACAGAGCACCTGCCCTCCAGGAACTCAAGTACAAGGGAGAGCCAGGTGGATCATGGGCATCATGGGACTAGCATGAGAGGACTCAAAGGAGACCAGAGCAGGACACGCGTGATCATTCTGAGACCTGCTTAGCCCTTGGTCTCTGTGTTCCCTTTAGGAATGGGAGGAAGGATAACTCTGCTTCCTCACAGGGCTCTTGTGATCATTTTGTACAGATGAAGCTTTCAGCCCAGGCCCCTCATGAGTTGCTCACAGCTCCTAAGGAGCAGTGAGGGGCAGGCTGGACCCTAGCTCAGATGCACACATGCATGTGAACACCTGCTTCCAGAAACTCAAAATTCTGAGGCTGGCTGCTGTCCCCTCCCACCTAAGGCTGGGCTGACTCTTACTCACAGTCCATAGGCAGGCTTCTCTTCTGGATGCCACCATGGTGGATTCAGGGTCTCACTGGCATGCATCGCCCACACAGGATGAGTATTTCTTTGAGATGCACTTGAACGTCTTCCTCCACAGTGCTTGGCTCACATAATGCCCGCCCAGTGTTTGTGCCCCATTTGCTCTGTTTTCCTTTATCTCCCTGACACTTGAACTCTGCAGTTCACTACACAATTCCTCATATGCTGCACCTGCTCTGCATCAGCTGGGAAGCACATGTCTCATCGGTTCTGTGCAGTGGCAAAGTAAGAAGTAATTAATCATTTTCTCACTATCACTCTTATTTGATAGTTCCCTCTTCAAGTTTATTTTGCTATGCTATCAGCAAAGTCAGTCAAATATTACTATTCCTTTTTAAATATTCCAGCAGCCAGATGGCAGGAACACTACTGTGACAAGGCAAAACTTGCCTAAAGATAACTTTGTGATGCATAATCACACTTGATGGCACTTGGCTGAGGGAACTCACCCAGCGATGCCTCCATAGATGCCCCCACTTAACCCAGCATCTACATCAAACCCTCATAATTCCAAAAATCAGACAAGCACTCAACTCTGTGATGGGTAAAACAAGCATGTTTCTATTTCTCTAACTTCTACATTTTAGGCAGAATTATAAAATCACTAGAACACACATTTGGACAAATTTCTCCCTAGACATAATCTTACTGTACCCTAAAGTTTATATATATGTATATGTATAAAAGGTTTTGCTACAAAACAAAGTTTCTGCCTTCTTCCTAGTTATTTTTCTATGTTTTTAGCTGTAACATTAATAAATATATTTATAAATTCAAGAATACAAGAAAAATTGACTGTTCCTCCTTTTGTTCTCTTCAATTGTTAATCTAATTTTTGTTTCCCAGATCTTTTCTAGGTTCTATTATTGATTCTTTGTGTGTGTTGGAGTGACTGCAAAAATCACAACCTGTACTATATGGATTCTGAACAATACATCTCCCAAATAAGAGCGTTGCCAGGCTGGACCAGCTGGCTCTCTTCTGTTCCTAAAACTGTATGTTCTTAGACACACTTCCTCCATCCCTTCTGCTGCTGGCGAACTTAGTGTAGCACAATGTCACTCTCACAATCACATGGAAACAGACTCCTGGAGGAACAAAAAGGAGGGACCCTGCGGCCCTACTGCAGCTCTACTGCAGCCCTGTATTTCTGGTAAGCTACCCTACAAGCCTGTCACCCTAATGTTCTGCCCTGTTTGGGGTGCCTCCAAATTGCCTGTTAATGGTGTGGTGCATGTCTAGAATTTAAGCCTATGTTCCTGGGTTCTTATTCTCAGATTCCTTGAGCAAGTCATTTAATCTGTCATTTTTTTTTGTTCTCATCTGTAGAAAAGGCACAATAATAACACCTCCCTTTCAAGACCTGTTGAGAATCATACAAGGTAACACATGAACAGGCATTTTGCAAAGTGGATGTGCCATTTCCTGTTATTTCTGAACTTTATTTTGCTCCCCTGGCCTCCTCTATTTTTCCTGCTTTGGTTTCTGTGGTTTTTAAATGTATCTTTAAAACACATTAACTGGAAAACTGCAGCAATCTGTGCTACCACAGTGAGTGGATTTTAGTATTAAACATTTATTTACTTTTTTATTGAGGTAAAACTTACATAAGTAAAGTTCACAAGTCTCAAGGGTCTACGTCCCTAAATTTGCATATGTACACACCTATGTGCCCACCACGTAGGGCAAGGTGGGGAAGATTTCCAGTACCCGGAGCCTCCCTCCTCCCCTGACTGGGTCAGTACAAGGCCCAAAGGCAGAGCCTCTTCTGACCCTGTCCTTTGGGTAGAGTTTTGGTTTTGTTTAAGAGAAGCCTGCAGTCTCAGTGATAACGATGAACACTGACGCAAGACCTGTACCTCAGTCTTCCTCTAAAGTGACAAAGGATTCTGGCAAAGAGGAGACTGAGGAGCACAAACTTTCTAATTCACACAGGTGGGGCAAACAAAGGCCCTCGTTTACCCCCAAGGAAGTGAGGCACAGAAAGGCAAAGTGACAGCCCTACTTCCTGCTATAGAGTGACTTTCCTTCCAAATGCAGCCGGTCCCCAAAGCAGGGCTGCTGCCGGTCTGTCCCAGCGCTCCAGGAGCTGTTCTCCCGGCCCTTTCCCGAAGAACTTCTTTCCAGGGAGCGTGCACACTCGGTCCCCACGCCCGGCCCGGGCACACCCACGCTGCGGGCAAGCCACCTCAGAAGGCGCCGTTCCTATGAGCCAGCGCCTGCCAGCCCACGGAGACCTGGCCAGCTTCCCCAGAGATGCCAGGCGGCGGGGCGCCCACCCCTCTCCGGATAAATCGAGCAGGGGTGTCTGCCACCTTCTCCCCGACCCCTCCAAAGGACTCTAAACCCCTTCTGCGGCCAGATGTCATCTGCTGGCACACAGTCTGACTACTGACTCCAGGCCCGGAAGGGGAGTCCGGACACCTGCGCTCGGCACCCCACCCGGTCCCCCTCACCAGAGCTGTGTGACCTTGGGCAAGTCATTTCTCATCTCTGGAGTTGGCTTCCTCACCGGGGGCTGCTTCTGTATTTCCAGAAGCACCTCTGGCTCCATGATTCCCTAGCCCTAGCCTTCCCGCGACAGCCCCCATCCCAGAGAGACCCCGGCCTTTTGTTCAGGGGTGGGGGAAGGAAAGCGTCGAGAAGGACCAGGCCGAGGAGGCCTTGCCGCCAGGGCCTGTCACGGGAGAGTCGGGTCCCGGGAAGTCACCAGGCAATCCCGTGGTGACCTGGTTCCTTCCGTGGTCCCTTCCTGGCCCGGTCCGGGAGGTGTGGTGGACAGCGGGTGTCGGGCGCTAGGGCTGCAGCCCGGCGGAGGTCTCTTGGGCCCTGGCACTAGCGCAGCACCTCTGCCTCCGCCTGAGGCCACTCTGGCTGGGGACTGGCCTGAGCGAGCCACGACACCACCCTTTCCCCGTAGGGCACTGATCGGTACACGCGCTCGGAGCCGCTACCTGCCGCTGGCCGTGCTGAGTCAGGCTGGTCTCGAGCTCCCGCCGCCGTTCCCGCCGTCGCCTGCCGGTTCCGGACTCCGTCCCGCAGCGCCCGTGCTCCAAGGCGGAGCCAGTGCAGCCGCTGCGCTCCGTGTGTCTTGCTCTTGCCCGGCCCAGCTCTGGTGTTGCTGGGACGAGGAGGCGGGGCCGTCGCCCCCACCTGCTCTCGGGTTCCAGCCCGGCAGCCGCTGCAGCCTAGCTAGCAGGGACGCTGCCCGGGCGGGCGGGGTCGCTCTGGCACCCGGGAGGCGGGCCCAGCGCGCGACTCGCCTCCCAGGTACAGAGTCCCCAGCCTGAGCTGCGGGGAGCTCGGGACCTCGGGCTAGAATTCCCCAGATAGGGGCTGTTCTGCGGGCGACCTATGGCCCAGCTCAGCCACTCTGGGGACACACCACTCTTGCCATTCATTCCCAAATTCCCGAGCCCATCCTTAGCTCAGTCGGTGTCATAAGTAAATAGGAACAAAAGAGGGAGCAAGGTAGCCTCTTGCCCTAGTGGAATTGCCCTAGTAGTTTGGAAAGGGAAGCCAACCTGTGTGCGATTGAAACACAGAGTCGTGTGTGTGTGTGTGTGTGTGTGTGTGTGTGCGCGCGCGCGCGCGCGTGAGCGCGCTCTTGCGCGTGGGTGTGTGTGTCCTGAGGTCTTGTGAGCACACAAAGAGGAGGCACCCTATCCAGACATGGAGGGCAGGTCAGAGGTTTCTCCAGCAGTTGATGGCACTCCAGAGAACTGAAGGGCAAGCTCATGTTATCCTGGTGACCCAGGGAGACAGGTGATTTTAGGTGGGGCCAGAGGGCAGAGAAAACAGGAAAGGTGAGGGGCAGGAAGAACTTGGTATGGCCAGCAAATCCCCATCACATTTCAAGTTCAGACCCTTGAAGGATGAGGAAGATTGTGTCTGCAGCTGATGTGCTATATTCCTCCAAGTGCAATTATCAGTGGGCAGCATTGGCTATCTCTCCTGGCCTGGGAATTCCTGCCAGCTAAAAGTGTACTCCTGGACTCTCGACTAGCTCCTTCAGTCTTGAAGTATCTGTGAGCCACAGACTCTTTGGGGCCCCAGGGTGTGCTGGTGAGGGAGGCCTGTGCTCAGTGCTCCCAGGAGGCTGAAGAAGAGCATGGGAACACAGGGGAAGGAGCAGTCATAGCCAGCAGTGGGTATCACACACAGGGATTGCAACCTGGCTCCAGGTTTAGATTTTGTAGCAGCTGCTCTCAAAGTAAGTTCCTCAAACAGCCTTCAGCTGCTTTCTTAATTAGTCATGTTTATAGCCCGACAGTGTGTAGGCTTATGCTTATAGCAAAGATTAATAATGCTCTCAGGATGTATTTCACCTTTATGTTGTCAAGAACATGGTTTTCTCTTTGGGTTTAGGTGAAGAGGGGTGTGTGTGTGGCCAGTGGAAACTGATAAAGTACTTGCTTCCTCTATTGGTCCTGTGCTTTTCCAGTCCTGTTCTCTTTAGGACCATAATAAATGATAGTGCACAAGAAATCTGAAGAACAGTACTCCAATCTGAAAGTCATCAACCATTTTGAATGCTGTTACTAAAAATAAAATCCAAAATATCCAGAAGCTCCTAATGGCCTCGCTCATTAAGTATATAACTACTAGTATCCCAATTCGAAAAAGGACAAAAGGATACATTTGCAGATGGCATTTCTGTGGGACTGGAGAGACAGCAGCCCAAACATGAGCTAGTTATAAGAGGGATGGGTGCTGGTGTGGATCAAGTAATTGTTGTTGTTTTAAAGTTTGAAAGATGCAAAGATAGTAAATGAGGAATCTGGAAAATGGGGACATTTGGGGCTGAAAGCTTCATGAGGCCTCACATTCAGGCCCAAAGTCTCACATACAAGCATGGTATCCCTCCCATTAGCACCTCATTTCTATGGACATTACAGCAGGATTCATTCCTATCCAGTTCCACCAGAATGTGTATACTGTTGAGAAGAAATGAGCTCTTCTTGGAGGATGGCATTTGTTCAGTGGCAGCCCTGTGAGTCATCTTCCTGAAAGCCCAACCATTCTCTGGTTCTTCCTGGGGACCGAACGTAGGCTCAGGATGGATCCAAGACTACTATGACAGCCCCCTTGCAGACTGTCCAGCCTTTCTTACAGCTAAGGAAGTCATGACCAGTTCTGACCAATGAGTTGAATGAGGGCTTAGTGGGGAGGAGTTAAAAAATCTTTGGTTAGCTCTGCCTTTCCATTTCCCACGGTCTTTATGTGCCAAATGAGAAAGACTTTCCTAGTGGGCTACAACCAAGAGACAGCGAATGGAAGGGCAAAAAGCTAATAGTTCAGGACAACACTGGGGAAAATAGAGTCAATGTGGTATTGCTAGGCACCTGAACCAAAGACGACAACTGTCTACCTCTAAACTATTTATTATGTGAGAAAATAGCTCTTGTTTGTTTAAGCCAGTGAGATTGAGTTTTCTAACCTTGTGGCCAAATATATTCCTAACTAATGGAATGACTCAGTAAAAGGCAAAAAGCCTTTATTCTACTCCCATCACTCACCATCTACTTGGAATAGCTCATCTGCTAATTTCAAACATGTATTTATATCTGTTCTGTAGCTTTCTGAGCTCTAGGAGAAAGGCAGTATAGAAATCCTAGTTGCTTTCTACATGTCTGCACTTCAATTCCTCAATTATTTGTAGATCAGCCATTACAGATGTTACTGAACTGGGGCTGAAAGTGCAAAGATGGATTCACAGTTGTGCACCTAGGGAGCTCACAGCTTAGTAGTGGACACAAACTTGTAAATAGAGTGCTGCAATTCTCTGTCATGAAGGAGCATGTCCTGGATAGAAAGCTAATACAGAAAAATGATGTAGTCTGTCTATGGGAGGTAGAAAGGGACAGTGATACTTGAGGTGAGCTTCCATGGATGAACAGGAATTTCTCCTGCTAGAAACTTGGGAAGAGAAAACACTTCAGGGGAAAGAAAGCTTGAAAGAGTGAGGTAGTCCAGGAACTTCAAGCCCCATGTTTCAAACCAAATCATGGTCTTTGTCCCAAACCTGATTCACTCTCATTATTGCCCATCTCTCCACCCATCCAGAGAGAGATATCAAACCTTACCCGTTGAATCTATCCAATCTCATTGGTGCATCTGCACCACCACCACCACCACTACCAGAGAACTCACCCTGTCAAGACTTGCAGAGTAACATCTTATCTAGCGTATTAGTCAGATTTTCATCACTATAATGAAATACTTCACAGTTTTAGAGGGTGAAAGTCCAAACAGCATAGTGCTGGCTTTGATAAGGGTCCCTGTGACTGCTTCACCTTATAGCCCCTCTAGAGGATGTCACAATGGCAGCAGCATTTTTGTGTGTGTGTGACAGAGAGATATTATGTTGAGGGAGGGAGCCAGAAGGAGTTTGAGGGATCAGATTGCTCTTATAACTCATTCTAAGGAGAACTATATTAGTTAGCTTTCCCTTCACTGGGACGTAATACCTGACACCCACAGCTTATAGGAGGAGAGGTTTAGTTTGGCTCACAGATTCAAGGGATTCAGTCCATGGTTGGCTGGCTCCAAGGCAGAAACATTATGGTGGAAGGGCACAGTGGAGCAAAAAGTCTTAGTTCAAGTTGGCCAGGAAACAGAGAAGGGGAAAGGTATTGGAGAGGAAGGGGGAAAGGCACCAGGTGTAATATCCACAGTCATCATCCAAGGCCTACTCAACACACCCAGAAGTGTGCTTTCCTAAATCCCTTAGTATTTCCCAAGCCAATCAAATTGACACAATTGAGATTAACCACCAGAAGAACTAATTCAGGTCCCAAGAGAACTACCTTAATTCTTTCCTAGGGCATACCCCAAATGAACTAACCAACCCCCAATGGGTCCCACCTCTTAAAGGACCCACCATTTCAACACCACCACATTGAAGGCCAAGCCTCAAACCTATGAACCATTGGGGGACATACTACATCTTGCATCTGACCCTTTCTGTAAACATGCTACTTCTCTCTTCCAAACCATTCTTCACAAAATGGCCAGAGAGATCATCTCAAAGCCCAAAGCTGATCTCATTAACTTCCATTATCTTTAGTTTAGGACTTCCCTTTGGAATGATGGTAATAATTAAGATCCTAAGCTTTGTCTGAAAGTCTACTCTAACCCTTTCTCCAAATATCTTTCACAGCCTTCCGTCTTCATCTCTGTACTCCATCCATGCTGGCCTCCATTCAAAGCCTTGAACAGGTAATATTCCTCCTTGTCACAGACCCATTGTATATGCTGTTCCATCTTTGTAGAGAACATCCCAAGTGATGAAATTCTCTTCAATTTTTAGATTTCAACTACATTTTGTCATCACTTACCTGGATCTCACCAAGGTCAACCTGCCCTGTTATAAACACTCATAACTTTGTGTACCTTTCTTGTGTAACACGCATTACAATTGTAATGATGACATTTTTCTGTTTGATAATTAGATTAACATCTGTCCTCCAGACTAGATCTTAGGAGACTTGTGTCATTGTACCCTTATCTCATGGCACAGAAGCTAGCACTTACTGTAGTAAACCCCCAATTCAGATGCACTGAACTATAGAAGAAAAGGACAAGTTGGGTTTACAGCCTTGACCTACACATATGAGAGGCTCTGAAAGTCTTCTTTCAACTTAACTGAGGGAAAATTTACATGAATAAAGCACATTCAATTTTTTTTCTAAGGTCTTTTATTGGTACATTTTAGGTATACAATTCGTTTACATTTATCATTGGGTGTTTGTATGTGTACATGATGTATCTTGGTTCTTATTTTTTCCCCATTACCTGTGTGCCCTTCACCCCCTCAACCCTTCCCTATTTACACAGACATCATTTCCATTTTTTTTCTTTTCTCATAGTTTTTCCTTTCCCTCCTTTCCTTTCCCTTTCCCCTCCCTTCACCCCTTCATCTTTGGACCTTTTTCCCTATTTCAAATTATCAATTATTCATTTTAATCATTTTAACCCTTGTTTACACTATCAGTTTCTCACATGAGTGAAACTATTCAGTATTTACACATGTGTGTCCTATTTATTTCACTTAAGAGTATGGGCTCAATATGCATCCATTTAGCTATAAATGTCTCTAGTTTCACATTCTTTATGGCTGAGTAGTACTCCATTTTATAAAAAAACCACATCTTCTTTATCCAGTTTCCAATTGATGGTCACTTGGGCTGTTTCCAAGCTTTAGCTATTACAAACTGTGCTGCTATGAACATGGGTGCACATATATCGCTGTGAAGATTCTTTTAATTCTTTTTTTTTTTGGTACCGGGGATTGAACTCAGGTCCTGGTGCTTGCACAGCAGGTGGTGAAACCACTGAGCTAAATCCCTGGCCCCCTGATTCTTTTAATTCTTTTGGGAAGATCCTCAGCAGGGGAATAGCTGGGTCAAATGGAACCTCTAGTACTAGTGCTTTGAGGTATCTCCATACTGATTTCCACAGTGGTCGCACCAGTCTACACTCCCACCAGCAATGGAGAAGGGTTCCTTTCTCCCCACAGCCCCACCAGCATTTGTTAT